TTGTTTTGGTGCCTCTGAGTTGAGGCTACGTCTAGTTAGCTTTTGACAAATGTTATGTACATGATGTTAAAGTTTTAATGATGTATAAACATTTTTGTACATGTTGATATGTATGTATTGTAGGGTGGGTATATGAACGTAATTATGTGTTTGGTCATATAGTTAGCACAACTCAATAGACTATTTGTTTTAATTATGTATTAAGCTTCCGTTAGCCTAGATAATCTTTGATTACTGGTCGGTTACCTCACTGACCCTTGCGGAGCGGGGTTTGGGTCGTGACAACATACTTCTTAGTAGCAGAGTACGTAAGGGGCTTAGTTTCAACCTCGATGTAGGTGTGGTGAGGTTCCTCGTAGATGCGCTGTAGGTGTTAAGGGACAATACTCTCTGACAGATATGTGAAGTAGCATATCTATATATTCATCTTATCCACACACACACACAAAAATAATAATAATAATAATAATAATAATTTAATATCCCGTGTATAAAAAATGTCTTGATTTGGTTCTGTAATATAAGCCTGTCAACTGATAGTAAAGTGTGTAAACTATCAATGCACATCATAAAAATAAAAATAAAAGTGATTGTAATAATAAGGAAATGTTAATTTTCGTGATAACTTCTCACAATGCCCCTAAATAAAAGAGAAAAAAAAAATTGTCATCCAAAGCTAATGGTCTTTTTGGTGACAAATTTATTTTTTTTCCGTGTGGAGCAAACTACTAAAAATTAGAAACACTAAAAGCATCAGCAGTGGATATGTTAGGCCATCCATTAGTGTCCCTTGCTAAATTTTAGCCAGTCATTTTCACTTTAAGCTTCACAGTAGAGCTGCTAAGGGCAACGTTAGTGGTCAAAATTAGTGTTAGATGTTAAATAATGTGTTAACTGCAGCGAGTGTGAGAGAGAGAGAGAGCGAGATAGAGAGAGAGAAAAGTGCCGTGCGGTCGTCCGATCGGTCATCCCCTCGAACCCTTCAAGTAATAAAAAAAAAAAAGGGTATGACCGGTTAACCGACCGGACATCCGGCCCAGTTGCTGCAAACTATTCATATACATACATATATATATATATATATATATTGTTTAACGCACTCCTTAACATACACTTTAACATATCCATTGTATCACCATTCACTCACTATTTACTCACTAAATTAACAAACTCTTAACACGCATTTTTTGGTCCCATTTTTATCACTTTTTGTCATATAACATACTTTAACACATCCATTGTGGATGCTCTAAGCCCAAAGTCCAAAAAAAAAAGAAAAAAAGAAGGCCAAAATGAAAAAAATGCTTATTTAGAATTGTTTTGAGAAGGTTATTTTAGTAATTTTTTGACATTTTGACTAAAATAAAAGATAAAAAAAATAATATTTTTGGGATAATTTTTTTTTTATAATTTTTTACGAAAAAATACAAAAAGTAAAAAAAATAAAAATGGTTGACTTTTCAGTATAACTCTTTGAGTTTTTGTCAATTTTAAAAAAAAATTATTTATATTTTTTAGCTAATGATGGAGGTTCCCAATCATTCATAAACTTTAGCCTTCGGAAAACGTGAAATTTACCCAAGTGTTTTTTTGAAAGAACAAAAATAACAAAAAATAAAGGGTATTTTGTCATAAATTATTTTTTACCTACTTATATTCTATTTAGTTGATATTATTTTTTTATGTTCTAATAAGTCATATAGATGATATAATTATCAAAATATTCTTAATAATATTTACATTTACAGTGTGAATGTTTCGTGATGTGAATGTTCACACCATCAATGTAAATGTTAACATGTCAATGTGAATGTTCACACCATTAATATGAATATTAACATGTCAATGTGTATATTTACATTGTTAATGTGAATATTTACACGTCAATGTAAATATTCACATTGTAAAATATGAATGTTCACATCACCAAATTACTTATTGTTTAAAAAATATTTGCAAGGGTAGAAATGTCCATAAAATACCTTAAATATGAGAAATAAGATTTGATAGATCAAATGTCTAAATAATAGGACTTATTAGAATAAGAAGATCATATGGACTAATTGCGATACAAATACTTGAAAAATGATTTTCTAATAAATTTGCCAAAAATAAAAAGGTGCAAATTAAGAACATATTTAAGATTCTGGGGTTCGTTTTGGATTAAGATAGAATTATGAGTGATATTTACAAATCCCATAAGAGTAGGGGAAATTTGAATGTCGGAATAAAATATTTGAGATAAATTATAAATACACCCTTTATAGTTTGGTTAAAATATAAATTGTAATAACCTGAAAATTTAAATTGTTCCTTAAATTTAATTTTAGTATTATTGAATTATAAATGAAAAAACTCTAAATGTTTAATTAAATATTCCGTAAGAGTAAAATAAAATATTAAATATTATGGGTATATGAGATAAAGTGTAATTAAATTATGAATTATATATTATCGGGAAAAAAAGGTATATAATTATTTTAAGAATTGGGCCAAAGTAAAATGACATCACAAGTTAAATAAATAAATAATCATAAAAAATAAATAATACTAAGGCCAAGTTTGGGAAGTGTAAAAAAAATCAAAAAGTCACTCAAAAAGTTAAAAAATTATTCACCAAAAGTCAAAAATTACGGCTGCACAACTCTCAATCTTAATTTTTTCATACACACTAATTTATACAATTTTTTAATACACTTTTTTTCATAAAAAGTCAAAAAATTAACCCAAACATCTATATTTTTTTTCTCAACTTTTTAGTTCACAAAGATAAAAAAATACACTTATTTAAGACATTCCAAACAATTCCTAAGAATAAAATAAATAAAACAAATCTTATAATAAATCTGATAATAACAAATCTAAAATCAATAATAACAAATTTAGTGTGTGTGTGCTGGACTAATAAAACCGCAGCCATCTGAGTTTTCTAGGTTTATGGTAAGTGATTCAGCAATTTAGGCCATTAATGCAAACCCCCCCCGGTTGTGTATACAAAAGGAGGACACGGGGGTACTGCTCAAGGCACAGCAGTTACTGCTGTTCCCTTAGCGGAGATTTTTTTGAGTATTTTTCAATAATCTGAACCGTTCATATTATAGGGTTCGTTAAGATTATTATTCATATAAAAAATTAAGTTAATCGGATATTCATAACCTCATGATCAAGTTCAAATTGTTTTAAAAAATTTATGAAAATTACGTTAACCGTTAATTTTTATAAAAACAAATATGCTTTGGTTATAGGGCTACAAGTATCCAATCAGCTTGATTTTTTTCCTGGATGACCTACTCGACGAGCCCTACAATGTGAACGTTTCAGATAATCGAAAAACATTCAAAATAATCTCCCACAAGGGGACAGTAGCAACTGTTGTGCCTTGGGGCACAGCAGTATCCCCCATTCCATAAAAGGATGTCTCAAAAACAAAAAAGTAAAATTGCGATCCAATACGATTTAAACAGCAAGTTTGGTTAGGTTTTTATTGACTTTGATTTTGGTATAGTCTCAAAATATAGGCATGATTTATTCACATTTCACCTACCTTTTCCATTTTCCTTTCCAAATCCCTCTCCAAATCCCCCAACCAAACACAGCATAAGTGAATAGGACGAAGGAAATAAAAGGGGAAAAGGAGAACAAAGGAACAACAATAAGAGGGTAGCAAAAATAAGAAGAAAATAGTAAAGGTTAATATTAAAGTGAGTTATATTATATCTTGAGTGACCATAATATATTTTACGTATGTTTTGACTTACCATATTTATTTATACAAGTTATGTTTTATAAATTATATTAATATTTCAATTATATTGATTAATTTCTGAACTCTATTTGTTAAAATGAAAACCATAGATATATTTGTTTAAATTTTAAAGAATATTTGATAATGACTTTATAAATAATTATGTTTTGTAAGTACCACTACGGGAGTCCCACGCCTTGGGGGACTTAAATAACCATTGCCTCTGTTTGGTCACTTTGTCACCCTCTGTTGTCATGGATCTATTGACCTTTGTTCTGTATGGAGCAAAGTGTAGCGCGGAGATAGGTGCTACACTATTGTGGGAGCTACCTTTATAATCCGTACGAGTTACCTCTTGAATCCATACCTCTGTATTGTTACGAATCCATTGACCTCTGTTTTGACTATCACTCCTGTGACATCTGTTCTGTTCTGTTCTGTTCGGTACTGTGGTTATGATTATTTATTTACATAATTTCAGTTTTGCTACTTAAATGATTATTTGTTCAGACTAAATTATTTTAAATATTTTAGTTACATAGCTATCCATGGCTATTTTGTATTCTTTATACTCTTGGCATAATATTTCTCACTTTGCTATGTGCTTATAGTTGTTTACCAATTTTCAGGAAACAATGCAATTCAAAAATAGCTTTTGGAAAGTCTTGGACGCGGGGCTACGGAATAGACACTCACAGAACCTTTATAATATTTTTATATGTAAATATCGGCATTTTTGGTCAATAAATTTTGTAATAAAAACAGAAGCTCTGATGATTATTTTAGTACATTCACTTAAATATTATTTCCGTTTGCGTTTATTAATTTGTTTAAGAATTGACCGGATGTAACTTTAGTTACTGGTTATCACGATACTTAACCTTTAGGTACATGGAGCGGGTTGTGACATAAATTGTCTTGTATAATTTTGAAAATTATAAATACACCATTGTCAAAAAAATTATTTAATTAATTAAAAAAATCTCTAATTATTCCTATATGTAATAATAAAATAATTTAAATTAATAATTTATTAAGAAAATATATCATTTGTTATATGATTAGAAATTTAAAGGAATATAATATAATTTTTATAATAAGGCAATTTGTATTTTAAGTTAATATTTATAATTTATCCAAATATATTTATAAAAATAATATTTGAGAAGAAAAGGCGCTAACATAAACGGAGGGGGTGCGTAGGACCTTAACATGCGCACCTACTTGCAGCATAATCGTGCGTGTGTAGAAAGAAGAGGAGGGAAATAAAAAGGAAGAGGGGCGAAGAGAGAGAAAGAAGAGAGAGAGGGAGAGAGAAGAGAGAGAGGTGAGGTGGGTTTACTTGGGGACTGAGTCGGGTGACCGAGTCAGGGCTCATCCGATCCAACAAATCACAGGGTTGTGTTGTGTGTGTGAGACTGTGTTTTGTATATGTTTATGTGGTACAAGAAAAAAATGGAGAAGATTACGAGTCCTCTCCTTTACCACTATACTCATCATACTATTACTAACCCCCACAACTCCTCTTTCTCTAACCCTAACCCTAACCCTAACCCTAACCCTGACCCATTTACGCCCCCTTCTCTCTCTCTCTCTCTCTCCCATTTTCTCATCGTCTCTCCCTCTTCTTCTCTACCATCCTTTCTTCTCTACCCCTTTTGGGGCTGTTCTTCGAATTCTTTTCGCGGCTGTACAAATTATCGTTCAACGTCGAGGTATGTATCTGGGTTTCTGTTGATTTGTTGGGGAATTTTGTATTTGATCTCTTTTGGATTTGTTGGTGTCTATTTATCGGTGATGATCGATGAATGTATTTCGTATAGGTGTGTAATTTCTTTGTTTTTAGTTTTAAATTTTTATTTTTTTTTGGGTGGGGATGGTTTGATGTATGTGGGTTTGGTGGATTTCATCTGTTTTTGCTTTAGATTTGGAAGGGGTTTGATTCATGTCAATTATTGAATGCGATTACTCTGGTTGACATATAATTGGATTGTTTTTTAAATATATTTTTAGTGGACAATTGTCTTACTGTTTTGTTATAATATATATATATATACATATATATTAAATATCTTTCCCGTCATTGAATTCACAGTTTGCAACTAATTGTTTGGTTTTAATTTGAATTATCATTATTTTGTTAAATTAAAGTTTTTAGCTTTTGGTCATATGGATGTACTGATAATCTGTTATTGGGTGCTCAATTGTCGATAGTGGTGTTTATATATTTTAGTCGGATTTTTCGTTACTCTTTGATAAAGCAATCATATGTTTCTGTTAATTCCGATTTGTCTATACATGGATATGTTGTGGGCGGTTGCTTTGTTTATTGGTACTTACTGATTCTTAACAATTTTGGGTTCATTTATTAATTTTTAACTCTTTTTATTTTTATTTTTAAAGATTGTATTTTTTAGGGAATATTTTCGTGTGAATGCTTTCTTTGTGCATGGTATTTTAAGATTGAACTAGTAATTTTCAAAGATTTGCTCATTCGATGCTTATTGATTTCATATATTTGGTGCAGTATTTCAAAATTGCTCCAATATTTGGTGGCTTTGATTAGAGTTAAGGGAATTGGGCTTTAAGGTCCTTTCCTGAGTTTTCACGATGGAAGAGCCTGGCGGCCCTCGATTTGAAGGATTAGGTAACACTATGAGAAAGAAGAGGAGCCAAAATTCCCGCCGACCTAGACTGGAGTCACTTCCATTTCCTGAAACTCGTGATCAGTCACCTTTATCATCTACGCCACCTTCAGATGATGTGAGCAAGACCTCCAGTGAGGAGAATACAAGGTTTGACACTAATTCTAGGAGGAAAGAGTTCAATCTTAACCTTTGTACTTTGAATGGTTCTGCTATCAAAGCAGGTGAATACCCTCTTAAAAAGATTAAGGAGGATAGATCACATAGTTTATCATACGGTGATAGAGATTTTGGAGACAGTGATGATCAAGGAGGAAATGGGTTGAATCACCAACGGTGTAGTGAAGGCGCCCTTGCCCCTGCTAATTGGAAAACCACGACTAAGATGAAGGGAAGCTTTGAATTGCAGTCAACAACTAGGAATGGTGAAAATCAGAATTCTGGGAACTCAAGAATGAATGGGGATGGAGTCAAAAATGACAACATGGTTAAAATGGTTAAGCTTAAGGTTGGTGGTGTCACACGCACGATTCAAACAAAGTCCAAGTCACATGGTGTGTCAGGTAGTGGGCTTTCTACAAAATGTGCTCGAACTTCAGATGCTCCTCGATCACGGCCTAAGCTGATTCTCCAGGTTTATAATGATTGTATCTAGTTCAAAATTAAGAGTCAGTACATTATGTGCATGAGTTTGTATGTTTTTTTTTTTTTACCAATTTAAGCTTGACCTTCTCACATGAGTAATGGTTTGTGATTTTGTGTTGGATACGGGTTTGTGATGAGGATAAATTGCAAGTAGCCTTTACTTATGCACCTTTTGTCAGTTGTAGTCTTTTTTTTTTTTTTTTTTTTTCCCTGTTTTTTTTTTTTTTTTCCTTTTAAAAATAACTTCAAAGATTGAGAGAAGGAAAAATGAAATTGTTTGGTTTCCAATTAATTAGTGAAAAGATCACTTAAATAAAGCAATGTATTAGCCTCAACATTTCGTTTCAGCAGCCAAACATCAAATGTCGCAAGGGATTATCCTCTGGCGTCCAAAAAAGAAAAAATTGGTTTATAAGCTGGATATGCAAATTAGTTAAGAAACTTAATTGACCAATTCTTAGTTATTTACTTGATTCTTGGGATTACATGGTGGCATAGATTATTTGTCCAACCTATATGTGATTCAATTAGTGGTTGGAAAAATTTGTCTTATGCTACTAACAAGTATGGAAAATAATTAATTTGTATTAATACGTGTTAAATAGCCAAATAAATCTTTCTGTTACATAGTAACATTTGGAATCCATGCAATCTGTCCATTTTTAACTCTCTTTATTTTTATTTTAATTAACTTCCAGGACATTTCTGATGATGATTCTCCTCCAGATCAGAACAGTGGTTTGCAAGGAATTCCCTGGAAGGATTATACGAGAGGCAATTCTAGTCGTGGGAAGGAGGATTCTTCAATGGGGAAGATTCCTGAAAAGAATGCATCGGGAAACCTAGGTGAGAAGTTGGAGCCAGTTCGTAAAAGCAAGAGGGTGCCAAAGAGGCGTGTATTGGATGCGGCATTTGATGAAGAGGATGAGGATGATGAGATTAGATACCTTGAGAAATTAAAATATTCCAAGGTTGCTGCAGGAAATAAAGATTTTGAGGAAGAATCAAGCAAGAAACACCAACGAATTTCTAGGGTTCCTAAGAATTCTAAGCATGGTGAGATTTTGGAAAATTTTGTCTCTTCGAGGTCAAGTAAAGACAGTAAGAAGTCCAGATCAGAAAGAGGATCTGACGACACAGATTATGAGGAGGATGAAGAAATCGGATCTGATGGAGAGCCTGAAGGCAAGAAGAAGAAGAAGTTGAGGAAGGACTCAATTGATTCAGCAATTGAAATCAGGAAGGAATTGGCTCTCACAAATCGCCAGCGAGCCCTTTTGTCCAGCAAAGATGCCTCTTCTGCATCTGGTGCAAGCATTATCGAGTTCCCCAATGGATTACCACCTGCCCCTCCTCGAAGTTAGTGTTTATTGCATTTGTTATTTGTTATTTTTATTTTTTAGCTTCATAACTGTTTGTAAGAACATTTCTGTTTGATAAAAGCCATTGAATTTGATTCTGGTTGCTCACCACAGAGCAAAAGGAACAGCTATCTGAACTGGAGCAGCAACTGAAGAAAGCCGAGGCTGCTCAAAGACGCAGACTGCAAGTTGAGAAGGCTGCTCGGGAATCAGAGGTTTGCCTTTTGTTTGTTCTTTATTTTCTTGTTGTTTATCTTGTATATATTTGGGATATTCTGAAGTGGAAAAGAGCATTTTTTGATGGATTTCTCTAGGCTGAGGCAATTAGGAAAATACTTGGGCAAGATTCCAGCCGAAAGAAGCGCGAAGATAAATTGAAGAAGCGCAGGGAAGAATTGGAACAGGTACTATAATTTGCAAATAATTTCTGTTCCTCTATATGTTGTTGTGAAGTTACATCTTTTAATTTTGTTATCAATATTTATCATGCAGGAGAGGGCTGCCAGTGCACGGACACTTGCATCAAACACCATTAGATGGGTTATTGGCCCTTCTAGTACTGTTGTTACATTCTCAAATGATATGGGTTTGCCTAGTATTTTCAATCCCAAGCCTTGCAGGTAGTGTTCCCTTTTTCTTTTTCCTTCTCTTGGGTTTGTTTATTGGTCTGTGATTATTTGTGTGCTTTGTTTTTGTGAAACCTGTCTTGGCCCCTCTTAAATTTTGCTAAATCCAACTTTTATGTGAGTGTAATTTTTCAATTTTTTTTTTGGGTTCCTTATTGCAATGCCCCCCAAACTAATCTGGCACCCCAAAAAAATAAAAGATTCCAATTTTGTATCAAGGTTGTCTTTCAAAATGTCTCATGTTTACGTCCCAAAAAATTTAATTTGGGAATATAGGCTATTTGATTGGTGTAAAATTATATTAAATTAAAAAAAAATGCTTAAATTCTTCTAGAGAGAGAATTGTTTATTATGTGGATTCCTATAGTTTTTTAATTGTACTTAAGAAGATTTCTGGGTCTACCACATTGAATAAGATTCAAATGATTACATAGGGCATGTTTGATTCAACTTACAAGATGAAAGTTGATAATTAGAAAGCTGAACAACTAAAAACATATCCCTCCCTCAGCTTCCTAAAAATAAGTTTTTTTCGACTTATTTAAGATGTTTTTATGTCATCAACTATAAGCAAAAGTTGCATTGCACCAAACAGCTCTCAAGTTCAAAATAAAAAAACATGAGCAACCTCAGTAAGTTAAGTTGCTCCAAACAGGGCCATTGGCTTATGCGAAGTGAATAACATGTCTAAATCTAGACTAGTCTCGTATAATTTTTGATTGAGTCAGTTGTTCTATATTGAGTTATATGTTAATAATTATTTAATTTAAACTTGGTTTGACCCACCATTTGCCTGTGCAAAATCTGCTCCATGCCTTTCTTTCGACCCTCTCAATTGAGGATTCCTTGCTGCACCTGTCCACAACTCAATCACAATATATATTGTTTGGTGAAATTTTCAAATGCTTCTGATGTTAACCTGTAATGGTTTTGAGGATTTTAATCTGGATTTTCAGTTATCCACCACCGCGTGAAAGATGTGCTGGCCCATCTTGTACGAACCCGTACAAGTATCGAGATTCTAAGTCAAAGCTTCCTCTTTGCAGTCTTCAGTGCTACAAGGCAATGCATGAAAAGATGGATGCTGAAACTTCTAGCTAAAGTTATTAAGCTACTATGTCTTTGCTTCGTGCCCTGACATTCATGTTAATATATGTCTTGTATTGAGATAGTGGTCAAGGAACACATTTTTATTTTTCTCATAATATAGAGAGACATATAGGAATTGGAATTTGGTTATATGCTGTAATCCACAGCTGAAAGGATCAATAAACAGAATTTTTCTTTTTGATTTTGTGGAATTGTCATGGATTAGTTTTACTTCTTATTTCTTGGTTTGGAGGAGGACAGGGATGCATCTTGCAGATTGTTATGTTGGAGCTCATAGCATGCTTGAGGGAGCCTCTAAATGCACCCCACCTTCCATAATTGTTTTTAATACCATTCATTCCTTAGTTAAATTGCCAAAAGGGACAAAACCCTAAATTCCATTTTACCTCTTCTCCCTTTTTTGCTGGCACCGGCACCACCTTTAGCAGCCACTCCAGCTCCCCCCACTAGCCCCCAACCCTCACCTTCCCGACCACCATGTGCAACTCCTTCTTTCCCTCTCCTGACCACCTTCCCGACCATGTGCAACTCCCTCTTCCCTCTCCTGACCACCTTCCCCCGCTTCCTGCTCCCCCCACTAGCCCCCAACCCTCACCTTCCCGACCACCATGTGCAACTCCCTCTTCCCTCTCCTGACCACCTTCCCGACCACCATGTGCAACTCCCTCTTCCCTCTCCTGACCACCTTCCCCCGCTTCCTCAATGACTCCCCTCCCTCCTCTATAGCCCCTTCCACCCCCTTCCCTTCCCTGTTGCCCCCACCTCCCTCCTTGTGTGCAATTCTTTCTTTTCCCCTTGCGACTCTCTCTCTCTCCTCTCTTTCTGTGGGTTTGGGAGGGAAGGAAGGGGAGGAGTTGACGGATGTGCAGCCGGTGAGCTGGGTTGGTGGGGGTAAGGTGAGAATTAATTGGGGTGTTCAAAGAAAACCAACCAAATTTAAATTTGAGAATAGTATGTCCAACAATTATTTTGGGGCGCATTTAGAGGCTCGCCATGGATGATAGCTTTAGTCAGACCTCAGCATCTTTGAAAGATTAGCTCCTGGTTTAGTATACTTTTCTTGAGCCAACGGCAGTTTACAAGCTTTTGGTATGACAAATTCTTTTGGTAGAGAAGATCTTTAGGCTAGGCTGTGTTTGGATCATGTATTTGGGTGGAGATTAAAAAAGGAAAGGAAAATTTTCAATGAAATGTAGTTGCATTTCATCCATATTTTCTCTTTCATTTTTAAATTCCTATTTAAATTCATGATTTAAACACATCTTTACAATGGCATTGAAAAAATCTCATTGGTTTGATTGTTCATAGAAACCATTTTTTGAAGTCAGCATTAGAGTTATGTGCACCCTTCAAGATTCTTCAAACATGCTGTTTTTCATGGTTTTTCTATTTCTTGTTTTTGTAAAATGAGAAGTTGCCATTGTTGAATGACTGTTGACTGCGAACTTTGTAACATGTGGAATAGCTGTTAAACTTGCTAGCTTTCCTTAATGGCCACGCTAGGTTTAGGCGTTTTAGTGGTGTGTTTTGGAAGGAAGTTTAAAGGATGTGGAATAGCTCATATTTGGAATGAATGATTACTTGTTTAGGTGGCCTATGTGGGGAGGCAAATTCAGTTTTGTTTTGATCTATCTAGTCAGAGCTACTGGAGGCAAGGGAGCAACTGGGGCTAGTTCTCTAGTTAGGAAGTTGAAAGACTTGGGGCCTGCATTTCACACTCTGAAAGGCAAATCGAAATAGCAATCATTCCACTACCAAACAAGTGAGGGTGGGAATCCCTTCACTGGCGAAATAGAACATCTATATAACCTAAGATCCCTCTTCTTAGTTCTCAATAGGAATGCATCAAGAAAACTGGTATTTGATATAGATTGTTGGGGCATGAATTCAGAATTTAGTAACTTTGATTCCGGCATTGTGAATGGAAAACCTCTTGGTGTCCTTTTTGTTAAGCACGGAACCAACTCAACTGTAGTTAGAATATATATGTTACAACACGGGCCAGTTAAAATGGAAAAAGATTGAGATCCACAATTACATGCTATATACATTATTGAAGGAAAGGGGTTCTGTACACATTCTTTAACGGAAAAAAAAAAAAAAAAAAAGGTTCTTTTTTGTACGCCAAACCAATGTTTTGTGAATGGGTTAACAGCCTTTGCGGTATACCTGTCAAACATTTAAGTATTCTCATTATAGGGAAAGGAGAAAATTTTATTTGGTGCTCGTGAGCATTGCCCCAATGTTTCCAAAAGCCACCTGATCATGCAGACTCCCTGCATTTAGGGGAGGACCCCATGTCATTGTGCGGCTCTTAGAGGCGTTGGGGCCATGTCCCAGGACTACCAAATAACTTCTCGGAAAGTATGCATGTACTAGTTAAGGAGATTCCTTGACAGGTACATTTGAGTAAGTACAAGTGTAACTCTTCACCTTCACTTCATTCCCTCTAACTTTGGTCCAGGAAATTTTCCGAGTCTCGAGCAAACTTTGCCTGCATCAAGAAGAAACAATAAATGCACATGAGAGAGAGAGAGAGAGAGAGAGAGAGTTGGGAGGGACTGAAACGAGTCGCTTACACAGAGAGCTCTATTCATAGAAGAGAATGCACACAGGTTATGCTCTGCTTCCAATAAATATTGGAGTTTCAGAAATTATTTTTTATGGTATGGTGTGGGTTTCTAATTCCATTCCATTTCACAAATTCCATATTCTTATTTGGATGTTTTCTTCTAAATTAGTTGTTCAAAAATTCCATTATGGTGTGGGTTATATTTCTATTTTAGGTGTTTTCTCTTACTAATTTGACTTGTATGTATGTACTGTACTCTACTGCAGGTCAACATAGAAAATGGTCTTGACCCGTCCATAGGGAAGGCAACAATGCAAGCAGCCCAAGAGGTGGCTGAAGGAAAGCTTAATGACCATTTTCCACTTGTGGTGTGGCAGACTGGCAGTGGGACTCAAAGCAACATGAATGCCAATGAGGTAAGTAAACATTTATGAATCTTTGGTTTTTGGTTTCATGTTTTTCTAATTTTGTATGCTACTAACACCCAATTTGTATAGGTGGAATTTAATAAAAACTTTGTTGAAATTTTTGTTCGTCTTCTTTTCTTTATGTTTTTGTTGTTGTGTGTGGACCTGGGGTCATTATGTTCCAAATTTAGTCTCATATGATAACTTTTAGGTTATGTAGGCAGCTTGGCCTAACTATAAAGGCTTGCTATTAGTGTAGGTGCGGAGTTGAGTCACGGGTGATTCAAGCAATCCTTAGCTCAACCATTGGGCAACTTAGGTGCTCACCCAAGGCCCTGCATAAAAGGGGGCCCCATTTTTTTATATACAATGTATATATCAGATAAAAATAAAAACAATATTACAAAGGAAATTGGAAAAAGCAAAAATAGGCAAAAATGATCTCTCTTTAAATCGTATTTCATACATATCAAAACAAACTACCCTATTATTATATCTCTCAATAGTTATCATTATACTTTGCCCTTTTCTGCATCATAACAAAGAAAATGGCAAAAGAAAAAGTAAATACTCGTATAGTTAACGGTTAAACATGAAGAAAAAAACAAACTCTTTGTCATTATACAAATGAAAGGCCTTAATCACTATACATTTCTCTTAGTGAAAACAAAAACCCTCATCATTATACCTCTCTCTGGGTCAAAATAGCAAATCCAAATCGACAAGATAAATGTTAGAGAAAACTCAGCCACATAACCAATCCTTGGCTCAACCATTGGTTTCAAAACAAACTACCCTATTATTATATCTCTCAATAGTTATTAAATTAGAAATGTTCCAGGTCCAACACCTTACGCACCTGAAACATAAACTATAGACATGCAAAGGTATATATATACGTGACGCAAACAAATTTTATGTGGCATACAGCACACACAAAGTGATGCTGATGCACAGAAATATTTATGTATAGATCTACATATTTTATACCATCGATGGAACACTTTAAAGCTAGTCCACTGATGTTTAGTGTGCTTAGAGCAAGATGACAATTTAGGTGCCATTACGTGCCTAAACAAAATTCAATTTAGGTGCCATTACTCATTTTTTTTTTATATACAATGTATACATCAGATAAAAATAAAAACAATGTTATAAAGGAAATTGGAAAAAGCAAAAATAGGTAAAAATGATCTCTCTTTAAATCGTATTTCATACATATCAAAACAAACTACCCTATTATTATATCTCTCAATAGTTATTAAATTAGAAATGTTCCAGGTCCAACACCTTACGCACCTGAAACATAAACTATAGACATGCAAAGGTATATATATACGTGATGCAAACAAATTTTATGTGGCATACAGCACACACAAAGTGATGCTGATGCACATAAATATTTATGTACAGATCTACATATTTTATACCATCGATGGAACACTTTAAAGCTAGTCCACTGATGTTTAGTGTGCTTAGAGCAAGATGACAATTTAGGTGCCATTACGTGCCTAAACAAAATTTGCATGATTATTAGGAAATTAAGGAAGCTTGTAATCCATATTAGCGATTCAATACCTATTTCCCGTCAACTAAAATGCAGGTGTAGACACCACTTGAGAGGAAGGATAACATAGGTCTTATAAAGAGAGATCATTTTTGCCTATTTTTGCTTTTTCCAATTTCCTTTATAACATTGTTTTTATTTTTATCTGATGTATACATTGTATATAAAAAAAAAATGAGGCCCCCTTTCATGCAGGGCCTTGGGTGAGCACCTAAGTTGCCCCCAATGGTCGAGCCAAGGGTTGCTTGAATCACCCGTGACTCAAATCCGCACCTACACTAATAGCAAGCCTTTATAATTAGGCCAAGCCGCCTACATACCCTAAAAGTTATCATATGAGACTAAACTTGGAACATAATGACCCCAGGTCCACACACAACAACAAAAACATAAAGAAAAGAAGACCAACAAAAATTTGAACAAAGTTTTTTTAAAATTCCACCAATGCAAATTGGGTGTTAGTAGCATACAAAATTAGAAAAACATGAAACCAAAAACCAAAGATTCATAAATGTTTACTTGCCTCATTGGCATTCATGTTGCTTTGAGTCCCACTGCCAGTCTGCCACACCACAAGTGGAAAATGGTCATTAAGCTTTCCTTCAGCCACCTCTTGGGCTGCTTGCATTGTTGCCTTCCCTATGGACGGGTCAAGACCATTTTCTATGTTGACCTGCAGTAGAGTACAGTACATACATACTAGTCAAATTAGTAAGAGAAAACACATAAAATAGAAATATAACCCACACCATAATGGAAGTTTTGAACAACTAATTTAGAAGAAAACATCCAAATAAGAATATGGAATTTGTGAAATGGAATGGAATTAGAAACCCACACCATACCATAAAAAATAATTTCTGAAACTCCAATATTTATTGGAAGCAGAGCATAACCTGTATGCATTCTCTTATGTGAATAGAGCTCTCTGTGTAAGCGACTCGTTTCAGTCCCTCTTAACTGTCTCTCTCTCTCTCACTCAAACGACAATGTATTGGAAATGGTTGCTTTTGGTTTTTTTTGCCCTCCTGTCCCTCATCACTGACCTGCCTATGTGGGTAGTGTTGTTGGGGGGCTCCTCAACCATTTTTGCTCTCGAAGTCATAAGCCTACCCCAACTCTCTCTCTCTCTCTCTCAAACGACAATGTATTGGAAAGGGTTGTTTTTGGTTTTTTTGCTCCTCCTGTCCCTTATCACCGACCTGTCTTATGTAGGTCTTGTTGTTGGGGGGTTCCACTATAATTTCTGCTGTCGAAGTCACAGCAATAGTGCTGTTTTCAAACGTCGAGTCTGATTCTTCTTTCTTCTCAACTGAGTCTGCCTTGGAATCTTCTTCTGGGTCCTCACCGACCGGTATGAGGTCATCGATCACGTTCCAATCGATCACGCTCACTGAGAAGGGAAAGAATCGCAATAGTTGATTGCCGGAAAACCAGCGAACGGCGTCGGAAGGGTTCCGCCGTCGGCTACACTGTGAGAAGGAAAAGAATCGCAAATGCAAAAGCGAACCAAACAAAAACCGGCGAACGGCGTTGGATTGCGCGTTCCGCCGTGCTTGTTTTTCTTCATAAATTGTCTTTTCGAGTTATTTTTTTTGTGTTTTTTTAGATGGTAATTTTATTTGTACTGTGTGTTGGAATTTAAGACCGTGCTTGTTTTTCTTTATAAATTTTGTCATTTCTAAATGTCTTTTCTCTCTCTAATTGTTTATTCGATCATTATTTATTGTTAATTTTTAAATTAATTTAGATTATATTGCTTCTCATATTTTTTACATATTTAAAATAAATTAAAAAATTAATTTTTAACTATCTTCTTAAAATAATTTTACTTGTCTCGCGTTGCCCATGCTAATTGTATGTTTGTTGGGGTTCGCTTGATTTTATTTTTGATTTATTTTCATCTTTAAGTTATTTTCTTTTTATTTTTTTTAATAAAAAATCAGCCTTTTAAAGACATTAAAAATTAAATAATTATTATAAAAATATATATAAATAAAAATAATGAATTTTTTTTTTGCTTATTTTGACTTTTAAAATTTTCTTATATAACTTTTCAAAAATAAAAAAATAAAATTTTTGAATTCGTTTACTTGAGGTGAATATAAATTATTTATTTATTTATTTATTTTTGACATTCTTCTAAATAAAAAATTACTAAAGATAATATGACTTTTTTATGTGATTCCAAACACTTTATAAAGGGTTATTTTGGGAGATGATTTTTTTTTTAAATATTTTTTTTAAACTAAAATATGAGATAAAAAATAATATATTTAAAATAAATTTTTAATTTTTTACACAAAAAAAAATACAAGAGGTAGAGTAAATGGAAATATATATATTTTTTGTACGAGCTGAAATTGTTTTGGCTTTTTTATTTTTATTTTTGATAAATGAGGCCTAAGTGTGCATTTGGAAATTTGATTTTTTTAGTGATATTTTAATTGTCTAATTTTTTTATGAGATGAAAAGAATTAATTTACTTAAAATGTTTATCTAGTTTAATAAATAGTTTTGTGAAATAAAATGATTGATTGATACTTAATATAACATTTTATTTTTTTTAGATCGCATTATCTTCCAAATTTTCTGCACATTTTTTTTATAAAAACAAAATTACACTTATTTAAATCATCCTAAATAACTCGTAATCTTATCTTTTGCAGGTTTGCTACAAAAAGGCATGTTGATTTTTTAATTTATTTCCTGCACAAAGCATGCAGAACATATTCTACTAAATGAAAATTATTTGCAAATAAAAAATTCATAAGAATGGTGTGATAGAAATATTTTAAAAATTGTAAGTCCTTTTAATGAATCTTTTGATTTGAACTAAATAAAAGCACTTTTATCACCGTATTTTGTACAATTTTTTTGTATAATTTCTTTTGTTTATAAGGAAAATAGCCTTTTTAAGAACAATAATTGTAGAAACTCTAAACTTCCAATCTATATATATAAGGAAAATGGTTTTTTTAAAACAATGATTGTGAAAACTTCAAACTTCCAATCTATATATATAAGGAAAATGGTTTTTTTAAAACAATGATTGTGAAAACTTCAAACTTCCAATCTATATATATAAGGAAAATGGTTTTTTTAAAACAATGATTGTGAAAACTTCAAACTTCCAATCTATATATATAAGGAAAATGGTTTTTTTAAAACAATGATTGTGAAAACTTCAAACTTCCAATCTATATATATAAGGAAAATGGTTTTTTTAAAACAATGATTGTGAAAACTTCAAACTTCCAATCTATATATATAAGGAAAATGGTTTTTTTAAAACAATGATTGTGAAAACTTCAAACTTCCAATCTATATATATAAGGAAAATGGTTTTTTTAAAACAATGATTGTGAAAACTTCAAACTTCCAATCTATATATATAAGGAAAATGGTTTTTTTAAAACAATGATTGTGAAAACTTCAAACTTCCAATCTATATATATAAGGAAAATGGTTTTTTTAAAACAATGATTGTGAAAACTTCAAACTTCCAATCTATATATATAAGGAAAATGGTTTTTTTAAAACAATGATTGTGAAAACTTCAAACTTCCAATCTATATATATAAGGAAAATGGTTTTTTTAAAACAATGATTGTGAAAACTTCAAACTTCCAATCTATATATATAAGGAAAATGGTTTTTTTAAAACAATGATTGTGAAAACTTCAAACTTCCAATCTATATATATAAGGAAAATGGTTTTTTTAAAACAATGATTGTGAAAACTTCAAACTTCCAATCTATATATATAAGGAAAATGGTTTTTTTAAAACAATGATTGTGAAAACTTCAAACTTCCAATCTATATATATAAGGAAAATGGTATCAAAAAATATAAATTAAAAACTCGAAAATAGATTTTAAAATTTTTACACTTGCCAAATTATACCTTTGGCACCTCTATTGGAAATGCTTTAACTAAAGAAAAATAAATAAATAAAATAAAAAATTTAGTTATAACTAAATAAGAAAATAGAATAACTAAGGATACATATAATATATATATATATATTCTACATCTCAACAGGATGTAATTTCTCCATTAATAATTCTCACAAAATATGGGCCTTATGTAAAATTTGGAATCCACTAGCGAGAGATGGGCCGACCCTTGGAATAAACAATAATATAGATTTTTTCTTTTCAAATAAAATTAAAAAAATTCACCAAAAATCAAAAAATATAAATTAAAAACTCGAAAACAGATTTTAAAATTTTTACATTTGCCAAATTATACCTTTGGCACCTCCATTGGAAATGCTTTAACTAAAGAAAAATAAATAAATAAAATAAAAAATTTAGTTATAACTAAATAAGAAAATAGAATAACTAACGATACACACCTCTTACTAAATAAGAAAATAGTAAAAGGTATGTATAAAAGAATTATTTATAAAAATAATTACAAATCAGTTGAAAACTTAATAAATATTCTACAAACTTTCTATAATATATATATCTCTATATTCTACATCTCACTAGGATGTAATTTCCCCATTAATAATTCCCACAAAATATGGGCCTTATGTAAAATTTGGAGTCCACCAGCGAGAGATGGGCCGACCCTTGGAATGAACAGTAATATAGCTTTTTTCTTTTTCAATAAAATTAAAAAAATTCACCAAAAATCAAAAAATATAAATTAAAAACTCGAAAACAGATTTTAAAATTTTTACATTTGCCAAATTATACCTTTGGCACCTCCATTGGAAATGCTTTAACTAAAGAAAAATAAATAAATAAAATAAAAAATTTAGTTATAACTAAATAAGAAAATAGAATAACTAAGGATACACACCTCTTACTAAATAAGAAAATAGTAAAAGGTGTGTGTAATAGAATTATCTATAAAAATAACTACAAATCAGTTGAAAACTTAATAAATATTTTATAAACTTTCTATAATATATATATATATATACTAGCGTATACCCATGCCTAAAGGCACGGTATAAATAATATTAAGATTAAAATACAGTTATAAAAATATATTTAACAGACTGTACTTTACAATTCCAAACAAATCAAATATAAAAAAAGTTAAATATCAAATAATGCACACTAGCCAGTGCTCTGCAATTTAAAAGAAATTAAAATTAAAATGCACACCAGCTCATTAAAGAAGTTGGATGCCTTTAATGGTTTAGCCAATTTTCTATGAACAACAACTTATTAAAAAATAAAAATCAAATAAAGAGAGGAGCACTAAAGATTTAGCCAATTTTCTTATTTGTATAATTAATTTTACTCCCCCAAATTACTATATGTGAGAGACAGAATTCATATTAAAAAAATTTAAAGTAAGACCTACCAAGTACCCATAAGCTTCTTAAGACTCAGCACACAGATTGCAAAGATGTATGTGTAAAAAATGTTTTCCTAAAACAATATCAATCATCTGTGAATAACATAAATCCTGAGAAATCATTCTGAATGGGTACAGTTGATTCATCCATAAGACCATAAAACTAAACATTTCTCTCAATGCTAAACCACAGAAATTCAGGTGTCTTGTAGGTTGTCTAATTTTATTACTTCTGGTAATTTTACTGACATAAAGAACAAAAAGCATGATACTCTAATTTTGTTTTCTTTCATTTTTCTTTGCTTTCTCAGCAACCAAACAGTAGTTTTGGGCTAACAACTAACAACAAGATATTAGAGAGTGCCAAGAATGAGAAGAACAAATATCACAATAAAAACCTTACTTCAAGTAAAAAAAAATCAATTAACTCAAACCTAGATCTAGATATCTAATAATAGGTCATTTTTATCAAATAAGCATGAAATTGTACAGATTTAAACAATACGCAGAAACGGAAAACAATAATTTCAGAGAAAAAATATGATCAAAATCTAGAATTGGCAAGAGAATGAGGGTAATTGTTGGGCAATGAATGAATATCACCTTGGAGGTCTTCTCTGGGAGTAAGATTCCAGCATTGGTCTTGGATGGAGGAATGATATACAATTTTTGGTTTTGTCTAGGCTAATGAATCAAGGCAAGTTTTTCAAATACAGATGGAGCTCAAATCTAATTTTAATTTAAGATATTGTTGGTAGCTTAATAACACTATTGTTTATATTCATCTATAGTTGTAGACTCCTCTCAAGTCGTTTTGATGCCGAAGTGCGATTAAGATGATTAACAAACATCATAATGTTTTACTTTATCGGTCCTTCTTAAAAGATAATTTTTTTTTAATTCTAAAATTTAAAAAGTTAAAATAAACTTTAAAACGTTCATTATTTTTTTCCTCTAATAAAAAACATTAACTATTTTTAAATATTTCATTTATTTTTTTTAAAATATTTTTTCAACTTGTCTTGTCGTCCAGAAACGTGGGCACTCTTATATTTTGGTCTTACACATTTTCCATGCAGAGGTTAACTGGGCTAGTGATCCAAATTTCACATTTGAACTTGAGGATCTATAACCAACTTGCATGTTTGTTTACAGTATCTAAACAAACTTGATTTCCAAGCATTGTTGATCTAAAGATTTGGTACATATTGGATAAATTAATCAATTGACATAAAGCCATCAACCACAAAATTCCCCAAAAGGAAAAAAAAAAAAAAAATCACAATTGACATCAAACTTCACCCATCAAAACTGTAGTAACTTTGATTCATATACCCCCAAAAGGAGCTATACCCATAAAGCCGCAATAGATTTTTAAAAAGAAAAACCAAAAAGAGAAAAACCATTGTACATCACATAAGTCTAGTTAGCTCCTAAAACTCCTGAGAAGCAGAACCGATATCCCATTTCCCTTTACCCACCTTCTTAGGCAACAGAGTCTGGTGAATGTGGTTTGTGGGTTTCTACACGTTTGAGAAAATGTGGGTGGTCATAGATTTTTTTTTTTTGAAAGAGTAAGGAGTGAATACACCAATTTATAGAAAATTCAAAAAATTTATATAAACATTCAGCGAAACATTGGAGTGAATTCACCACATTCGAAACAACACATGACAGAAAATAGTAGAAAAGTGAGTGAACCTTTACCTTTAGTTTGAGAAGAGTGAGCGAACCTTTAGTTTGAGAAGAGTGAGACCCTGAAAGCACAGCCAAACGGAACCGAATGTGTTTGTGAGATCAATTGAAAGTAAAGTGATAGCAATCAAACATAATAAAGTAAGCATGTCTGGGACGTGCTCTGCTGGAGAGTGATTGAGCAGCAAAAAAATAATTAATCCGTTCAAGTTTGGCTAATAATATTAAATGGCTTGAAATAGATGAAAGTCACACAACAATTAAAACGCCACTACACACTTGCCTTGATTCTCCTAAAACATAGAAGTCAAGTATGTGTTCCATCTAAGCTTCACAAATTGCAAATACCTACTTTCCTGTTCTCCCAAGTGATATAAATCATAATTTTTGCGAATCCATCAATTTCTCTATGGAATTCTAACGCCTCTCAATAATTTCTTAGATATCTTGTAGATTATAAATTACTGTGATGCCAAAGAATTCCCTGAATCTCTTGTCACTGTGTTTTCAGATCAACAATTTAATTTAAAAATTATTTGAAAATAAATAAACAAATAAAGAATGCATCTAATTTTGTACCTATCCCAATTTGAAACAAATGAGTTAATATGTTATCATTATTTTGGTGGGTTTGGCGTTTTTCATTATAAATTACTTGTTTTATTTATTTCTCAAATAGCATTCTTCTTCTAATCAAACACATGAACTATCCCAATTTGAAACAAATCAGTCCCGGACAATTCCATGATCGAACCATTCTTCTTTATCGCGAAGCCACCACAGATGAGAGAGAAAGGTAAAGAGAGAGATCAAAGAGAGAATAAAGTCTACGTAGAAATTGAAGGAGTAAATTGAAATCTTATCCCTTGCGAGTTGTAAATTGAAATTCGAAGGGTTGTAAGGGAATCAAACCAGAACCACCTCGAAAGCACAGCCAGACGGAACCGAGTGTGTTGCAGATTATAAATTACTGTGATGCACAGACCTCTACACATGCATACTGCATATTCTTAGTTGATTGGAAAAAAACAACAAAATAACAAAGTTAAACCTTTTTGTAAGTTGTACATACAATTTATTTATTTTACATTTTTTTTTAAAATAATTGTACAGACAATGGTGGCCTCAAGCCATGGCCGGTGGAGTGTGGGGATGTCCCAAAAGCCATTCCCTGCCCTCCAAAGCAAAAACACAAGTGTTTGGTGCAAAACCAGACACAAAATGGTCGAGTCGAGAGATCCTGAGGCAAGGCGCGTAGCCGAGGCCTCCGGGAACTCAAGATGAACAGAAACATGGATGATCACTAAGTGTTCAAGCGGTGACATCCAAGTCTTGAAGACGGTCAAAAATGGGGTGTCTACAGCCCCGTCCATCTTCATTTGCTGAACTAATAGAAAACTCAATTGTATATACAAAATCTTTTTATATAATACACATGATGTTTTCTTAGTTGATGATTCAAACTAATATTATTTATAATTTGAAGTTTGTCCAAATCATATCAAAATTTTATTTACCATAACCATCAGTTTGCAATCCTACCATAGAGTGAACCACACTAGATCAAATCTCTTTTCTTTTCTTCCTCAGGAACTCCATTGCAACTGGTGTAACTGGTGCAAAGATGAAAAGATGAACCCAGAAAGTCTTTTTTTTAAAAACATACACATAAAATTAAGAAAACAAAAAACCAACAAATCACAATTTATGAACTAACAGAAAACTCAATTGTATATACAGAATATTTTTATATAATAAACGTGATGTTTTCTTAGTTGATGATTGAAATTAATATTATTTATAATTTTAAGTTTAACCAAATCATATCAAAATTCTATTTATCATAACCATCTATTTGCAATCCTACTAGACCAAATCAAATCTCTTTCTTTTCTTCCATAACCATCTATTTAAACTCCTACCACACCGTATACTTAACAGTGTACACACAAAATATCAAAATGCAAACCCATACTCTTGGAACAATTACAATAAAAAAATATTTGATATATACAAATAAAAATAATAATAAACTATTAATATAAAAAATAAAATAATAAAAATGCAAAAAAAAAGCAAATTGTTTTTTTAAAAATAAATTTTAATACTGTTATTTTAAAAAAAAAACTGATTTTAAGAATGCTAAATTGTTTTTTTAAAAGCACACACATAAAATTACGAAAACAAAAAACCAAAAAAAAAAATCACAATTTTTGCTACTAAAAAAAAAGAAAACCCCAAAAATCACAATTTCTGAACTAACAGAAAACTCAATTGTATATACAGAATATTTTTTTCCCCAAGGAAACTAATAACATAATGAAACTTTTTATTTTCTTTTTTAATGAAGAAAATAAAATGTATACTTAACAGTGTACACACAAAATATCAAAATACAAACCCATACTCTTGAAACACTTACAATAAAAAAAGATTTGATATATACAAATAAAAATAATAAAAAACTATTAATACAAAAAATAAAATAATAAAAATGCAAAAAAAAAACTATTTTTTTTTAAAAATAAATTTTAATACTGTTATTTTAAAAAAAAAACTGATTTTAAGAATGCTAAATTGTTTTTTTAAAAGCACACACATAAAATTACGAAAACAAAAAACCAAAAAAAAAAATCACAATTTTTGCTACTAAAAAAAAAGAAAACCCCAAAAATCACAATTTCTGAACTAACAGAAAACTCAATTGTATATACAGAATATTTTTTTCCCCAAGGAAACTAATAACATAATGAAACTTTTTATTTTCTTTTTTAATGAAGAAAATAAAATGTATACTTAACAGTGTACACACAAAATATCAAAATACAAACCCATACTCTTGAAACACTTACAATAAAAAAAGATTTGATATATACAAATAAAAATAATGATAAACTATTAATATAAAAAAAAATAATAAAAATGCAAAAAAAAACTATTTTTTTTTAAAAATAAATTTTAATACTGTTATTTTACAAAAACAACAGATTTTAAGAATCCTGATTTTTTTTTTAAAAAACACACACATAAAATTAAGAAAACAAAAAACCAAAAAAAAAAAAAAATAACAATTTTTGCCACTAAAAAAAAAAACCAAAAAATCACAATTTCTAAACTAAAAGAAAACTCAATTGTGTATACAGAATATTTTTATATAATAAACGTGATGTTTTCTTAGTTGATGACTGAAATTAATATTATTTATAATTTTAAGTTTGACCAAATCATATCAAAATTCTATTTATCATAACCATCTATTTGCAATCTTACCACACTAGATCAAATCTCTGTTCTTTTCTTCCTCAGGAACTCCATTGCAACTGGTGTAACTGGTGCAAAGATGAAAAGATGAACGCAGAAAGTCTTTTTTTAAAAAACATACACATAAAATTAAGAAAACAAAAAATCAAAAAAAAAATCATAATTTTTGCTACTAAAAAAAAAAAACCTCAAAAAATCACAATTTCTGAACTAAAAGAAAACTCAATTGATGCTTTGGATGTGTTGGTTTTGACAATATTGATGCTGTGTATTGCGTTGTGCTAATATTGGCGTTATCAACATTACCTAACAACTAATCTTTGAAAATGGATTAAACCTTCATGCAGGGAAGAGAACTACAACTAAGATACAGTTGAGATACAAAATACAATGAAGATACACATTGATACAAAAGAGAACTTACCAAATAGAAACATACAACCAATCATATATCCACAGGATGCTTTCAGAAGAGAATTTTCAGAATTTTTTATGCAAAATACAGTGAAGTTGTTAAGAACTTTTCAGTGAAATCAAAACAAAATGCAAGATGCAATGGAGATGTTGTAACTGCTTGAGGAATGGAGACGTGGGGAGTGGGAAAATAGAACTGGTTATTTTAATTTATCATTTTACCCCTAATTAAATCTGATGTAAGTGTAAGAAATTAAGGTCATTTTAGGGAAAATTAGAAAAAGTTTGTGAGAAGTGGCTTCATGACACCAAAATCACTGTTCCCTTTTAATAATAAAATAGATAGATATATTTTTTTTAATGCGATGCAATTAAATGACTATCGATTTTTGATAAACTTAATTTTTTTAGACTGAGACTCCCTTACATGATTGTCCTCTGATCATATATTGGAGAGAAATTGTTCCCTTATATTTTCATCATATCACACAATTAGGAGTGTGAAAGAGAACAAAAGTTTGGGTATAGAGATCCCAACCTTCAACTATGAATTGTTAATGGAGACTCTCCATAACAACCATAATATGCAGTTTGAGTATATATAAGAAAATATCCTATATATACAAATCTCATAAATTATTTTTATTTGTAGATATGAAATGCAATGATAAAATTATAATTTTTGGAATGAGAGGCACCAACATAACATGAATTGACCAACTTAATTGTCACAACAAGTAAAAATAATTTATGAAATTTAATCATAGAATTAAAAAGCTGTCAATTCGTGCATAATGGCCAATTTAAACGGCTAATTTTCCATCCTAATACCGTTATATGTCCTGCGATTTATAACCGTACTAGTAACCTTTCATAACATACCTGCAAGGAGGGGGCAATTCCTCTAGATTTGGAGGTTTCGGAGCCATATGACAATAAAAAGTGTCCCTCAAATTAGCAGCTGGTGCACTAAACAAATCAAAATTGGTATGATACACCACAGCTTTCGTGAAATCTCTTGTGTATATTTAATTGACTAAATGAAGCAACATTTTCTGAAATGAAATTTTTGAATAATTTTTCCAAATAAGAATATATAAAAAATAAAAATAAAAAATTATTTAAAAAAAAATTGAATTCCAATATTTATTGGAAGCACAGGGCATAACCATGTATGCATTCTCTCCTTATTCACATAACAGAGCTCTCTGTCTCGTTTCAATCCCTAAGCCCACCCCAACTCTCTCTCTCTCACAAACGGAAAAATCCCACCTCCTCCAATGTATTCAACCTTTAACTTTTTGTTTTTTGTTTTTTTCTCCCTTCTATCACTCATCACTGACATGTCTATGTGGGTATTGTTGTTGTGGGGGTCCTCTGTCATTTCTGCTCTCGAACTCACAGCAATAGTGCTCTTTTCAAACCGTAACAATGGTGAACCAAACGTCGAGTTTGATTCTTTCTTGTCAACTGGCTCGTTCGAGTTCAAATCTTCTTGTGGGTCCTCACCGATCGGTATGAGTTCAGCCGACGAGTGGTTCTTGAATGGTCAAATCCGACCGATGTCACCACTACGAACAACACAGTTCCAATGGCAAGAACACGAAGACAATGAGGCCTCTCATCATCATCATCATCATCATCATCACATTCTGGAGTTGGATGATTCTGAGAACAAAGAAGCTGAAACTCCGTCGATCAAGACAACACCGTCAGGCTCTGCTTCGTCTTCAAGGTCTTCATCGTCTGGAAGGAACTCGAAGAAGTGGATATTCTTCAAGGATCTATTGTACGGAAGCAAAAGCGAAGGTAGAGACAACAAAAAGAAGTTCTGGTCATCGATCACGTTCACCTGCTCATCATCTTCAAGGGACGAGAAGGAAAAGAATTGCAAGGAAATGGAAACACAAAAGCAAAAACGAAGCAAACAAGTTCTCTTAAAAAAACCGATCGCCAGTACACTGGGAATAGAGCACAGGGGGAGGAGATGAAGAAGAAGACCTTCTTACCCTACCGGCAGTGACTGCTCGGATGTCTAGGGCTGTGCCCTTAATGGATTTACCATAACTTTAAACCCTGTGTCCTATGGGTTATAATTTAAGCTCTTGCGCCTTTGTTCAATCACCATTGATAATTTTTGTAACGCCCTCAAAATAAGACATAACTCATTCATTCTTAAGATTCGTAAAACATAGAAGAGGTATTATATTCCATACATCAGAGTGTTCTTTACAAAAGATGTTACATGCTTGTTAACAAAAATAGATGCCCAACGGCTTACAACCTCCCAAGTCAGTACTTGGTTACACAAAATAAGAGTTCTAACTCTTTTACATATAAAGTCCTTGGCTTGAATTATATGTAATACAAAAAAGTAACAACAAAAAGAAGCCTTCAGCCCATAAACCTCCCAAGCTATGTCCTTAGAGGCGTCATATCACCTGTACCTGAAAATGGTGTCCCAAGTAGGGTGAGCCACAGCCCAGTAGAGATATGCTAAACAGCATATGAGAATTAACTAAAACATTAGCATTTGATAAATGTTTAACACTTATAAGCCAACTTACATTATTCAATATTATCCAAACAATTTAAAATGAGACTACAACTCATATATCAACACTTCAATAATCAACAACATTCAACACTTCCATTTCTTGCCATTTTATGGAACTACCTCCGAGGGAACCGGCACCCAAATACATATAAGATTTTGGGACTTTCACCTTGGACACTCCGACCAACTTAATTATCCATGGAGTCCATCCCCTATCTCCTCCCAAACAAAAATCCGGTT